GGGGAAACAAGCTTCGAGTTCGCGGACCATCGCGATCTCGAAGTCGACGTGGAGAATCTCTGGCTGATACCCTCCGAGAGCATCGACAACTATTCCGATGAAAAGCCGGTACGTGTCGGCTCTCTTCGTCGGCAGAAGAGAATAGATGAGGGGAGCGGCCTTGCCATCCGGCAGTTTCACAAGGATGCTGTACATCTGATGGAAGATCACCGGTCAATCTTTGAAAGTCCCGTCGAGGAACCATTCGTTGCTCTCTTTGAGTAAAGAGAGGTTCGCAAGCGTCGCGAAGACTATGATTCTGTCGCTTCTTCCTTCGCCCGGGTCGTAATAGAGAAACGATACATCCTTCGTCGTCACCTACAGCACGAGAGAGATCAAGTTTGAGTCGAAATTACATCCTCGAGACCCTCAGCAAATTATTTACGCACCACGTAAGTTCTAGCCATTCAATCGAGCTCGCATGAGTTCTTCAATGATTTCCATATTCGAGTCCACGGCGCGGATAAACACCAGGAGTTGGGCCGTGTCCACCATGTCTGTACTTTCATCCATAGCAATGGACCACCATTCGAGGCAACTTGATTTCTCTATGAGCTGCTCTTCAAGGTTCTCCGCGATCCCACGGATTCGTCTGGAAACGGTTCTCCTTGAGAGGGCAACTCCAGAGAACTTCCCGTACGATTCCGGACACACACTCTTTGTGATGATCAGAGAGCACTCTTTGACGGAAACTCCATCTGTGAACGGCCGGCCACTGGATGCGATTTTTTGTGCTATCAAGAAGCTCGCTCGGTTCGTGGCCTTCTCAGAATCCTTTTCCGTCTGAAGCTGCTGCTCCGAGCACTGGGAAGCCTCCAGTGCTTGACGTCGGACTGATCTTTCCGAAACCGATAGGCTTTGCTCCTGTGAATGCTTCGTCTCATAATGTCGCCTCAAATTATATCCTTTCAAAACAGAGAGAACGCTTTTACACACGAGACACAGCGGCTCGCCGTCTTCTTCAACGAAAAAGTAATTCTGTGTCCAGTCCGGGTTGAACTTCCGCTTCTCTTCCGCGACGCTTCTCTTGGATGCCATTGTGGGTCCGCACGAGGGCTTCCACTGATTTTCAAGGAGATTTCACGCTCACGAGCTTCACCCGTTGCTCCGCGAGTAATGAAATTTTCGGCCTGAGGCGACGAATACCACCACTTTCTAATCTGACTATCACCACGTTCACTTCTAGTCGATATTGATATTTCTTTGTAATGAGACGAGTAATCGCGCTGGAAGCCACTCAATTCTACCTCCGATGAGAACGCGGACCTCTTCCGAGACTTCTTTTGATTGGATTTCGTCGATAAAAATCATTCGAATACATTTCAAGAGCATCGAGCATAGCGGGCCGCATGCGGCCCGCGGGCCCGGGATTGCCCATCCCTGCAGTAGACGACGCGATCGATTCTTCTGCATACTCGAAGGCCTGATTTTGTTGCGGACCCCAGTCGAAGTTGCGATCTTTCTGGATGAGTTCATACAGCGGTGCTAGCTTTGTTGCTCGATTCGGGATGAACTTAGCGTAGTAGGAGATCATTCCCAGGAACGACTGCAGCTGCTCAACATTCCTGGGTTGAGGGCCTTTTTCGAGGGCTTCGGTCTTTGATTCCATAGGTTTCAGCCCTTGCCGACTCAGTTTGTGCCCCAAGAACTCGATCTCCTCCGCCATGAACTCGCACTTCGGAAGCGCTAACTTGAGGTTGTGCTCTCTCATGCGCCTCAATACTTCGGTGAGTCTTTTTACGTGCTCCTCTGGCGGTCCGGATATCAGTATGTCGTCCAATCTGCACCCAGTTCCTGGAATTCCTGCCAGCACGGCTTCCAAACTCCTTTGGAAGAAAGCCGGAGCCGAAGAGACTCCTTTCGGCACTCGGTCATACTCGAACAGGCCTTCGTGGGTGTTTATTGCAGTGAGCCATTTCGAGTCGGGATGCATTTCGATTTGGCTGTATGCATCCTTCAAGTCGAGTTCCGTGAGCGACGTTCCCGGTCTCATGTCCATGCTTGCAAGCAAGTCCTCCGCTCTTGGCAACGGATACTGTTCAAGTTTCGTCACCTTGTTCGCTGTTGTTCGCAAGTCGGCGCACACTCGGACTCCGTTTGCTTTCGGTGCGTAAACCACCGGCGCCGCAGCCTCGGCGAATCTAACCGGCGTCAGAACTCCCGCTTTCACCATCTTGTTCATCGCCTGTTCAGCCTGTTCTCTTCTCGCATATGGCACGGATCTCGCTTTGCTGAAGGTGGCCACGGCTCCCGGGATGACTTCCAGCTTGAGCTTTTGGCCCCTGAGGCGACCCAAGTGACTCCCGAATACGTCCTTGTAATCTTTTATCACTACTTGCCACGTACCTCCAACTTCGTTTACTGTCATCTCTGCGGACTCGTCCTGACTTGCAGGCAGACATTCCCCGAATTTCTTCAACCAGTTTCTTCCCATCAGAGTTCTTCCTTTCCGAGCCACCAAGGCCCTCAGCTTCTCCTTTCTTCCGCGGCTCTCGACGTCATATTCCGCTATTCCGACGATATCAATATTCTGATTGGTGTACGAGAAAACTGGAATGTTGTAAGGGTTGATTTGCGGTCGTGGTCGTAGCTTGTTGTGGATTTCCAAGGGTATGAGTGTATAGGCTGAGCCAGTATCGCACAACAGTTCCTGAAAAGGAACCTTGTATTTTGGCTTCCATTTTTGTATGGTGGAATATAATCGTCCAGGCCTGTCGTTCGGCTCAGGTTGACTGATACCGCCTCTACTCCGTCCCTGCCATCCTCATCGGTTTCAGGTTCTTCCGCGCAGTCCGTCCAGTTGACGTTATTCTTGCACATGTTCTCTTTATGCCCTCGTCGTCCACAGTTACCACAGAATCTCTTCCGGTCTTCGCATTGAGCCACCTACCATGTGGGTGCCTGATCCACAGCAGAAGCACGTTCTCGATTTTTGTTCAACTTTTCCCGTTGTTCGAGACCACCGCGCCCCGAATTTGTTCCTGAACTCCACGTTTTGCACCTCATGGCTCTCCGATATACTGGTTTTTCCATTTTTCAGTTGTTTCGCTGATCCTGACGCTGCTTCGGTGCTGAGCGCGATCTCTATCACTTTTGTAAACGTGTCCAGCTAGAAGTCCGCCAGCAAGCGTTTTATTGTGTTTTCGTCTCTTATCCCGACTACTAGTTGGTCCCGAAGTCGCTCGTCGAACGAGTTGCCGAAATTACACATCATGGCAAGTTGTTTCAACTCACGACCGTGTTCGGCGATGGATTCTTCGTATTTTTGTTTCCTTGTCATGAACTCATACCTGCACATTATTAGCGGCTTGTTGGGTTTGCAGTGCTTGTCCTTTGCGTACACGATATCCCGGAACGAAGCTTCTTTGGCTGTCTTCGGCTGGAGCAAGGTATTCGCCAATTTGAAGGTTTCGCTCTCACAAGCTTGCACGAACTCCAATTTTTCCTTTCTGTCTTCTTCGATGCCTCTTGCTCTCTAGCGCGCGCGGATCACTTCTCTGAACCGAAACCACTCAGTTCCCTTCGAACCATGGCGGGAGCCTAGGAACTGCTTCTACCGGGATACAACAATTACATTAGTAGTACGACGACGACTTCTCTCCGTGTGAAAGCTGCATTGCTGGGAAGCAAACGAAAGCTTCATATCACAGTCGTCCATCTAATTACAAGCGCACAGACCAGAAACTGTGTCAGCAGACCTCTGCTCTCCGTCTACTCCTTCGTGAGGCCAACCCAAGCATTTTCTTATGCTCACAGACGAATTTTCAAAATATCGAAAAGTGTACTTTTTAAAGGGAGCACGCCACAAGCCCTACGTGTTGACATTGATGAACGCATTTTTAGCGGGGAGAATTCTGAGTTCAGCGGGGCTGGCGACTTGGTGACTTTACCTGTTTTGGCGAGTTATTCTGGGGTGACGGCGGAATCGATCTAAGAGAAGATTCTTGGACCGAGTAGTAGACTCTATGATGCGGACCCGGACTCAACGCGATATGGATACCTCATCACAAGATAGCGAGATGAAGTGGATAGGTGTGCACTCTTGGGCAAAACGAATAAGATCGGAGAGCTCATGAGAACTCATTCAAAACTGCATGTACACTCGGAATTTTTATTTTATTCATTTATTTCATTTATTAACGGGGCTCTACTATAGAAAAGTTAAATTAAGCCGCCATTGGAATCCGTATAAGTCGCCAAGACGGGCCTACTCGCCGATTCGTCGAGTCGCACGCCCCGCTGGACTCAGAATTCTATAGTTCTTCGATCCACCCTTGCCTGGGGTCGCTTTGGCGCGGTTGCTGAGCAAAGATGTGAGAAGTTGATGAAAAACTCCAATTAAGAATGCTTTCTGTACAACACGAAGGTATCGATTCCGGAATGAGGGGCCAGTAGAGGGTTTTCCGAGACGCAGTCATAGATCGATGCGATCCGGAGAAGGACGAGGTCGCCTTTCAGGTTAATAAAGATGAGGAGGAAGGCATTTGCAGTCGACGATATATTCTATACCTGACCTATAGGTCTTTGATAAACCCTCTCTTAGTTTCCGCCCTCTCCCTCAAAAAAAACTGCCGCCGGCCTCTGTGGTGATGTAAGGTTACCTAGACCTGCGCCGTTGATTCAGCGGGTGGAATCCGAATACTTTATATATTACTTTTACTTCACGTATTCGGATTGTGGCGATGATTGCAAGGTGCTGGCTCATCCCTGCATTATCAGATGAGGTATTGGAGATGCTTTCTTCGTAACCTGCATCGACTCGGATGAATGTGAAACCGAAGCCGATGATGAGACTGCTTGCATCTCTGTCGATGAAGCTACTTTAGGTGGAGGGTTCCTAGGGCCGTGGTTCGAAGAGAGACCAATGCCTGTTTCTCCAAAGCAAGAGCTGAAGTAAAACGGCAACAATTATAAAATCATCGTCGCCATACAATCCTCGGCTTCACTAGTGTTAACATCGTTTTTCATAATAAGAAAACTCATGAAAAGGATGTCTATGCCAAGACATGAGAGAAAGCCTAACAGTGTGGTGGATAATCCGTATCTACCCACAACCGAGGATATTTCTGATAATCAGGGAATTGGGAAGCTTGTACTGGCACACAAGATTGGTTGGTGAGATAGGGTAGAAGGCAGTAGGGTCGTCTCCGCTGTCGCTCAGCGTCACCAAGGCGAATCTGAAGCTCAGCCACCACACTCGTGAAGAATCGAAGAAGCACTCGGGTAGAGTTTCCACAAGACAGTGTGTTTATTGATTTAAAAAGGTTGTTTCTTATACTATTGCCTACCAGCCGTCGGCGCGGCCTTTTTGATCGTGTGCATTGCTGACGAGTGCGTTGTCTTTGACGTTGTTTGTTGGGGGTATTCCACTGATGATCGCAGTGTCCGAAAGTATGACAAACAACGAAACAACGGGTGTGAGTGTGACGATAAATTTTATTCAAGGAAGATTTATCTCGTTGAATTTTAAATATCTCCGAAGCTTTCGGAAAGGAAATTCGAATTCTCCATTTGAAGGAGAGTTTCATCCAGTACATATGGGAACGGTAACGAAGTAAAATCTCTCGTATTTCGACAGAGCACGCAGGCGCCGCAATTACCTAAATATTTGATGACATGGTCGTCAATGTGGCGAGCCTTGAGTCCTCTCGGACGTTCTGGCAGTTTCAATGATATCATCGAGAGGAGCATCGCTGAAGGAGTCAACGGTTCTTGAGGCTCTCTGTAGGAGACCTTGACTTGAATGGCGGGAGGAGGAGTGGCGATCAGGGGCACTTTGACGGGAACTGCGGTTATGGCGGCGATCATGGGGTGTTTTCGGAGAACGATGCGGAAATGCGATGACTTGTTGAAGGAGAATTTGTCACTCCAAAGATGCAACATCAGTCTTTTTGTCGAGAACGCTTCTTTCTCGTTGTCCTTGTGGGCACGGTAACGCAGTTTCGGCGGAGCCGGGCAAAAACGACGATCCTTCAGGATAGATCCGGGCCTTTATGTAGGTTGCGGATAAATCCCCGAACAATCCGCGAGTGGAAGTGATGGCGATTGCATATCTTGGAATGTCGGAGTCAATCCTCGAACAAGCAGAAAAGTTCATGGGAGAAAATCCTCAGCCAGTCCATCTGATAGTCCACGGTGGATATGAGGAGTGTGCGGAATTCAACAAAGACCGGTACCTTGACTCCATAACCAAGTTCGCGGATAACCTCAAAGCAACAAGACCTGATTGTAGCATGAGTGTCATCACAGTCCCTCAGTTCACGGCGGAGTGCAAACAAGCCAACCAAAGGCTGTTCCAGACTCAGGAAAAACTTGGAATTGAAGTGATCGACGCGACTCGGAGTCATAGACAGAGGGTGAACAAAGGCATGTACACCTACTCTGGTCTAGAAGAAACAGTAACGGCCTGCTCAAAGGCCATAGCAAGAAAAGTCGCAAGTTTTTTAGGGGTGAAAACACTACAGCTCGAATCGCGCACCCTTCCCCTTACGGCGCCACAACCAGAAACAAAGCCAGAGCGACGAAACCACGAGAGGCACGAGAAGCAACATGCACCCAGAAGAGCAGAACGCCAAGTGAAGGCAGAAGGCTTCAGAAACCTCGGGAGAGCAATAAGCAAACAGAAGCCATCCAAGCGCGAAAAAATAGATCTGGAGAAGGAGTACCGGGCGCCAAGGGGAGAAGACCTGATCGAAATTATCAGACAGGCTTTACGAATGTACGAAGCGAATACGCGAGGGAAGCGTACGCGGCTTCGGAGATCGTAAACTCTCCACGAGGTGGGGATGACCCCCATCCCCCCCTCAGTATGCTGATCTGGAATTGTGAAGGACTCAAGGGTGCCTTAGGTAAACTCGAAGATGACACATTCCTGACCCAGCACGACTTTCTGCTCTTCGCAGAAACATTTCTTAGAGAGGAACACAATTTCGAGGAGTTCGTGGGCTATCACATTCTTGCGAAGAGGTCTCTGGAAGGCGGGAGACCCATAGGGGGCATATCCATATTCGTCAAGAAGTGCCTACCGCAATTCCAAGTGGTTGCCAGCGACGAGCAATACATAGTCCTGAGCAATCCAAATATACAAATTGCGATGTTCTACATACAACCAAACTACAGAGCACTCGAGGTAATAGATACTGTCTACGGAGCACTGTCGGTGGCGAACCTCGATAGACCCGTAATCATTGCTGGAGACTTCAACTCCGGAATAGACGACTCAGCAAGAGAAAAAAAGGGACTGTACCTGGTCGAAGCCATGGAGACCATGGGATTCACTCTGATCAACAGAAGAGAAGACAACACCTACATCGCAGCCGCAGGTCGAAGCACGATTGATCTATGCTTCATCAACAATAAAGTGAGAGCAAGCTCAATTGAAGTCCTCAACAACCCAGCGAGGAAACATCTCCCTGTTCAAGTGAGACTTGACTCGCGACTGAACCCACGAAACCTGAAGTCTACTCCGATGATCCGCTACTCAAGGAGGATCCAGAGTCAACTCATGAGCGATGATCACAAACTGCAGGCGCTGAAATCCACTATGGAGGAAATCAATGTCGACGGAGCAGAGAAAGCTATCATCGAATACGTATCCGCGGGTGCCACTGTGGCGGCACAGACCAAAACGAAAAAACCATGGTTCACGGACAAATGCCGGCAACTGCTTGCAAGGGTCAAAGACCTCCTGAAGAAATCACGAAGAGGATCAACAGGGAGCAGAGATGAATTCAGCCAAGCCCGTAAGCAATACCATGCAGAGATCGCGGCCAGCAAACGACGCTGTGCGGAAGAGAAGGAAAGCGCTTGGTAGCCGAGGC